ATCAGTTTTACCAGGGATGAGCTGCTGAACATTCGGCAGAACACACCACACAATCCTCTACCGGATTTTGTTTTTTCGGACGTTTTGCTGAACGTTGTAGTCGGCGGAGCTGCTGCGCTGATCAAGCGCTTCAGGACGCGCAGACGGGGGAAGAGAGCCGGCGTGATCATGAAGCTCAGGAAGCGCGGATTCAGAATGCCGTTGCCCAGCATCCATATGGCGAATCTCCGCTCTCTACCCAACAAAACGGACGAACTTCTTCTGCTCTCCCGGACAAATAAGGATTTTTCACACTCTGCTGCTCTGTGTTTCACGGAAACCTGGCTGAATGACGCCATTCCGGACAGCGCGTTGAGTCTCCCGGGCTTTCAGCTGTTCAGAGCGGACCGCGACGCAGAATCAACGGGGAAATCATGCGGCGGCCGGACATGTTTTTACATCAACGAAAGGTGGTACACAGATGTTACAGCGTTAAAGAAGATATGCTGTTCCGATCTAGAAGCGCTTTTCATTAACTGTAAGCCGTTCTATTTGCCGCGGGAGTTTCACTCGTTCATTCTCGTACATCCAGAGTGAGGAAAAGGGCTCAGAAAATCACTCTGGATCCCTCACATCCAAGCCATCTCCTTTTTGAACTTTTGCCATCTGGTCGGCGTTACAGAGCACCGAATACCAGGACAGCCAGGCACAAGAACAGTTTCTTTCCCCAGGCAATCTACCTCATGAACAGTTAATGTTCTCCCATTGTGCAATTAAAGTACAGTATGTGCAATAACCTTATACTTATTTATCACCCTAAACCCTAGTACATCCCTACAACTTATTTTATTTTATTCTATTCCTACTCCATCTATAGCACACCTGTACATACAATTACGTCTTTTTATTGTGTTTATATTTATGCATGTGTATTTTATTCACATCTCATTTTTATTATCTGTGTGTTATTGTTGTCTCCGTGTACTGGAAGCTTCTGACACTATAACAAATTCCTCGTATGTGCAAACATACTTGGCAATAAAGCTCTTTCTGATTCTGATTCTGATTCTAAATGTGTGAATATCCATCATTTTAAAGTCAAAAGCTGCGGGAATGAGTAAAACTATGTGATATAGCCTATGCGCAATCCCGCACCGAACCGTACCGTACGAACCCTGCTCTGGGGACATCAGAGACTTATTTTACATCTTGTAAAAAGGGGCATAATAGGTCATTTTTAAGTTGTAGTGTACGTTTAATGGCTTTTATCAAATGAAATAGTGAAATGCTGGTGAAATGACTCTCAGAGCAGCTCTGGAGATGAAGTTCATGTGTTCATGTCCTCATAACGTGATGCTGAAAACACCACGTGCTCGAGTACGTGTAGACCGGAAACAGCATCACTTATTCACACAGAGACATGCAAAATATGTCTGTGCCTCGCAGATTTTTCTTTCTATGCACCTGATTGTTTATATGTAGGCTAAATAAAGAGAAAAAACTGATCAGCCCTATTTGGCAAATGGAATTGCATTTTTTTTGTAACCCAATTATTTATTCCATAAAAGTACTAAAAGTATTCTTAAACAGAAATAGAATCATTAAGAGAAAGCGGAACCAGATCTGGAAGGGTTAAAATAGTGTTCCCATCCCTCACATGGGTTGGACTGTGATATACTCACCTGGCTGGATTGAAGGGTTGGTGTTGGTGCTGCCGCTCGACTGTGCGGTGCTACTGCCGGTGGTGGCCGTTACCAGACGCACATAATGGAAGCGGCTGCCCGGCACCTGGATCTGCTGCACATTGGGAGGTGTGGTGAGGGGGATGATGGTCTTAAACTGGGATGTTCCCACTCCTCCCACCGTCTGCACTGGCTTTACAGTCTGTACACAGAAATCAGCATTAAAATATAGTGCTGTTGTTGTACACAAATTACACCGTAATACAGGCTGTTATTGCAGAATGGGGCAGTTAAAATCTATATTTGACAGTATAGCAAACTGGTTTGGTTTGTGAGGGCTCTGGTTGGACGTACCTGTGCGGTGGACTGGCTGGTTCCAGCTTTAGCTGGAGAGGTGGTGGCAGACTGTTGAACAGTGAGGATCTGCTGGCCCAGAGCCACACTGAGCGGCAGCGTCACAGACTTCTGAGGCGAGTTTGGAGACTGACTGGCCACCGAAACCACAGTCAGCTACAGACAGGAGAAACGTGAGGAAGAGGCTGATGTCAGAAACCCGAGTGTGGCCATCATTGAGAAAAAAACTGGCATCACAAAGACAGGCGAATGAAATTGCAATGCCAGTTTTTACATTTAAAAGATTTAAGACCTTGCTGGGAGACTTGAGAGGTGAGATGGCGACTTTGCTGTTACCAGACGTATTCTGTGGCACAGTGCTGATGGTCTCACCAAAGGTGATGCTGCGTGGAGGTGTCACTGGAGTACTCTGGGTAACAACTCGCCCTGTGGACAAAAAAAGGGAATTCAAATTTAGATACCACAGCTGTGCTGTTAAAAGAAAAAGCACTCTTGCTCATGGTATATTTTATAAAGACAGACAGAAGAGTACCAGTCACTACAGGAGCCACTGAAGCTGGGCTGGACAGTCCTTTATTGTTCAGGGCTTTTGTGATGATGAGCTTTGTAATCATCGGTCCAGCTGTAGATACTGCGGGCTTCTTTGTGAACTGTGAGGAGAAATACGATACTTGCCAATTATTTCAGCCGCCTATGATAGACACTGAACAGGAAATAAGATTGCACTTTAAGGTCATTAAATTAACCAATGCCATTTTTCCTTACATAAAAAAAAAAAAAAAAAAAAAAAAAAAAACTTTTTCTGACGGACTGATATGACATAAACACTGTTAACATACA